GAGCATCTCTTTATGTGCTTATTAGTTTTTTGGGGGTTTCTTCTTTTATAAGTTGCCTGTTCATATTCTTGGCCAATTTTTCTGTTGGGGTTCTTTCTTGTTTCATTTTGCTTTGTTTTTTGTTTTTTGATTTGCAGGAGTTCTCTTACATTCTGGATGTCATATACTGTTGCTTTCAGGAGGTTAGATTTGAGGTAGCCTTTGGTAATCTAGTCTAACCACCCCATGTTATGGCTGGGGAAACAGACCCAACCAATGAAATGGCTTCTTAAAATCACACACATAGTGGAAAAGCTGAGACTAGAAGTCTCAGTTCTTTTCACCCCATGTTGCATGAAATGTTATGAGGCAGCAGCAATGGGAGGGGTGGGCAGGAAGTGCTGGGTGTTGCTGACCCCCCCCCCATCTTCTGTACTTCTCTGCAGGCAATAGGGCCACTTACCTTGACTGTTGGCAGGGCCAGCTCTGGATCCAAGAGGCCCTTGCCGTCTACATGGCCCCTGGTCTGGTGACCATTTCCTCCTTCCCATTCATACCGTCACTACTTTATTTGAGGATGTATCTCCTTGTGCTTGACCAGTGTTTCTCAAATTTTCGTGTGTGCAAGATTCACCAAGAGAACATACTATAATGCAGATGGATTCCCCCTCCTGATGATCGAGAAGCATTGAGTGATCATTAGGACCCTGATGCAGGTGGCCTATGGACCTCATGTTGTGAATACCCTGCACCAGATTGTTCCCTTAGCTACCTGATCGAGCTTCTGTCTCCATCCCAGGGTCACTGCATTTGTCTTCTGGGCCACCAAACAGAGGGACGATTATTCCAGAGCACATCTCTCTCTGTCACACCTCTAGGCTTTCACCCTCACCACCCATCTCAAGTGCTCCTTCCTTTGGGAAATTCTATGACTTTTCAAGACCTAGGCCGAACATGGTCTTCCTTAGAAAACCCCCTCTGATTTTTCTGGGAATCAAGGTCAGCGGTATAGCATGAATGAAGATGAGGCACAGCCCCCTCCCTGGCATGGTGTCCTCTGAAATCCTGGAGGACAACCCCCTGCATCAGGGGGTCAGAGACACCTCTTGAAGGTAGAAATACCCTGTACCAGCCAGTCTTTTCTTTTGAAAGAACAGTCATTTTTGTCAAATATACAGGCTCATTGTTTATTTAAAGAGTTGTAGTTCTACAAAATTTGTTATGGAAAATGTCAGTCTTCCATCCATTTTCCCTGGGGTTTTTTTTTCCTCCCTGGAGGCAGACACCTGAAACTCTCTTGGCTGATTTTTTTTCTTTTGATATCACTAAAGAATATGGTTATGTTTTTTTGTTTGTTTGTTTGTTTATTTTTATTTTTTATTGTTATGTTAATCACCATACATTACACCATACATTACATCATTCGTTTTAGATGTAGTGTTCCATGATTCATTGTTTGTGCATAACACCCAGTGCTCCATGCAGAACGTGCCCTCCTCAATACCCATCACCAGGCTAACCCATCCTCCCACCCCCCTCCCCTCTAGAACCCTCAGTTTGTTTCTCAGAGTCCATCATCTCTCATGGTTCGTCTCCCCCTCTGATTTCCCCCCATTTAAGAATATGGTTATGTTAATCCTATTTGATTTTTTCAGTTTTCGGCATTGTCTATTGACTTCCCATTGCAGAGAATAAGGATTTAATTTTACGTCCTTTCCCTGTGCCTTCACGCAGGCCCCTGCCCACCCCCCATGTTCTATTGCTTGCCCAGTTACAAAATCCAGAATGCCACGCGGTTCTCCCTGCCTCTGTGCCTAGGGCCACCAGCCACCTGGCTGTCCACGTCTGAAATTTGGGCTCCTTCCTGAATTCCTTCCTCTTTCTTATAATCTTCTACTCATTCTTCCCCTCATCTCCCATGTGCAGTCGCTCAGGGAATTCTGTCAACTCTCTCTCTGACAAAACTCTTAAATTCATCCACTCCTTTCTGTTCCCACCTGCCACAGTCCCTGCTCCGTCACCCTCATGTCTCGCTCCGAATACTGCAATTATGCTAGCCTCCTCACTTCCTGTCATCCCTCGCTCTGCTAGCTTCTTCACTTTGCAGCCAGACTGAGCTCCCTAACATACAAATTAGCCCACAGGATTCTCGTGCTTAAAACTTTGAGTGCACCTCAGGGCCCGCGGGGGTAATTTCAAATTCCTGAGCATGGTGGGGTCAACGCAGAACATAGTTCACCATGGCATTGTGTCTTCCTGGCACACAGGCTACAATTACTTGCCATGAAGGTTGGAGCCATGTGACATGTGAGGGGGAGTGACGTGTCACTTCCAGGCCCAGGAAGTTAGGAGCTGCGGGCCCAGTATACCTCTTCTCTCTTCTGCAGGGGGCCTCCCAGGCCCACGTTCTAGAAGCTGTAGTTACAGGATGGAGGAGGGCTGCCCTACCCCCAGCAGACTTTACCTGAGTGAGAGATAGGTGTTTGTTGTGCTAAGCCAACGAAGCTTTGGGGTTGTCTGTCACTGTCGCATAGCCTGTCGTGACCTGGAGTAGCTCAAGGGATGTATAAGGCCCTCCAGGGTCTGGCCTTACCTCTCCCACTGATATGAGTTCTCCTCTCCTTTCCTTGGACTCTATTCCAGCCATGCCCTGCCAGGCTCTTTCCTGCCTCCAGGCTTTGCACACGCTGTTCTTGGTGCTTAGAACATCTCGTTACTCAGCCCTGTTTGCCACGTTGCCTGGCTGACCCCAACTCAACCTTCAAGCTGTAGTTTACATGTCTCTTCCTCTGGGAGCTTTCATGAGTCCCCACTCCCTCCTGGGTGAGGTGCCCCTCCTTTGTGTCCCTTAGCACCCTGTGCCTGCCTTTCACTTACCCTTCCGTCCTGAAGTCTCCTGTTGACTTGTGTCTCTGCCGAACCCGACTCTTCACTCCCTGAGCCCGTTCTCTGTGGTGTGCTTGGGGCCAGTCATGGGAGGTGCTCAGTCCGTTTATTTTGGTGGGAGGATCCAGGGCATCTTAGAGGACAAATTATTGTGAAAAACTGCAATTGTGATTTCTTTTGCCAGGACTTTCTTGGTATTTTAAATTCCTGAGGGACCGCATTGGTTGGTCGTTGGGGGAAATAGTCTCTAGTCAGATGCAGCTGGCCTGACTTTTGGTCTTACTAGCTGTGTCATGTTGAGCAAGTTACTTAACCTCTGAAGCCTCAATTTCATTATCTGAGGGGAAGAAGAATAATAGTACCCGCTGCACAGGCGGCAATGAAGTGAGTTGATACATATAAGCACTTAGGACAATGCTTGCCCAATAAATGTTAGATATATTGTTAAGAATATCCTAAATGCAAATGTGGCTTTAGATCCTGGAACAGAAAAAGGGGAAAAACCGGTGACATCCAAATGAAGTCTGAAGTTAAATCATAGTACTCCAGCTTTGGAATTTCTTAGTTTTGGCAGATGAACCACTGGAGTGGGACATAACTTTAGGGGACACTGGGTCAAGGGTACGTGGAACTTCTCTGTGCCATCTTTGTAACTTTTCTATAAGCCTAAAATTCTCCCAGGATGTAGTATCATTATGATACTCATTTTATTCTCATAATATCCCTGTATGATGTAGGCACTATAATGATTGCCGTTTACAGCTGAAGGAACCGAGGCACAGAGAAGTGAAATAGCTTGCCCGTGGTCACCGCTCACAGTCCGCGTAATGGAGTAGGAATGATTGGTGGGTTGGGGTTTCAATAGAAGGCGATAATAAGCCCCTGCTTTGTGTACGGCAGCCCCCTACGTGCTGTGTCAACAGAGAATACCAGGCAGTCTCTGTCCTCAAGCTCATTACAAGCAGGAAGGCTAAGTTCACATGGAGGTAAGGACAGAATCGGAGATAGGAACCTAGCCCCGGATTCAGGAGCTCATACTCTTAACCATCACACTGAACACATCCCGGGGAATCACGTGGGATCCATGAGGGGGTTTCGGGACAGCTGGCTTTGTGGGTAGGGCCATGGATGGGAGTCTTGAAGGGTCTTCAGGTTGAGCTGCCCCGTCTTCTGCTCCCTTTCTCCTCCTCCGACCAGTCCGGGGAGGTGGATTACACTGGTACACACTTGGCTCTTCTGTTTAGCACTTCATGAAAGACAGCAGCTCGTAGAGCACGGGGCATGGGCTTTGGGGTCAGGCAGCCCGGGCTTCAGCAACCGTTCGGCTTCTTATCAACTGTTTGATCCTGAGCTGGTTACTTAGCCTCTCTGAGCTTCAGGAAAACGAGGGTAACAGCGACCACCTGACCCGTTGTCGTGAGGGCCGACCCAGTGAGAAAACACGTACAAAGCTGGGTACGATGCCGGGCGCTTGGTAAGGCCTCAGGAAGCGGGGGCCGCCTCTGTGTGCCTCACTCCTTTGTTTTGTCCAGGGCGTACACGATGAGCCCTTGGCCATGTTGCTAAAATTTCCTGGGGAGGCAGCTTCATGGAAAGAAAAGAACGTGGACTTTGGGGGGGACTGTGCTACTGACCAGTCTCTTGTTTAACCTTTCCGGGCCTCGATTTTCCACCATAAGCTAATGTCAGTATTATAGGCTCTAGTGACAGTCTTGAGATGGGGTGTGAAGTTGGCCTGTGGACATGTTTGGACGTGTTCTCTTGATGTCAGTTCTTGCCATTGTGTCTTGTAGTTTTCTCCATTTCATTCACATTAATCGTGACTCATCCCAGACTGTTTGCTCTCTGAGGACAGGTCCTCTCAATCTTAGGTTTCTCTCATCCCTCCCACCAGCACTTAAGTTAGAGGCATAGTAAGTGTTCATTAAATGGGAGCTGGCCTGCTTTTGTGGTGGGCTTCCTCACCATTTAGCTGCACTTTTGCACCAGCTTCCTAGACTTTTCTAGACTTTGATCTACGCCATCCCGCTGAGCTCAAGGAAGTGCCTGGGAGCTGGTTGAGCAGGGAAGGACCAATTTGTGAAATGGCCACCAAACATTTTATTTGTTTTGCTAAATAGTATCTAAGACAGCCATGAGGGAAGGGGAGAGGGAGGGCGAGCGAGAAGGCGGGGAGCCTGGGGGAAAGGCATCATCAGATGGCAGTCTCTGGCAACTAAATCAGCTGAGGGAACCCGTCCTGGCCCGAGGCCACCCTGCTTTGGAAGACGTGCCCGCTGCCGTCCACCCTCTGCCCGTGCTCCTCCTCGGCGTCGTCCTCGCTCGCCTTGCGCCGGGCGTTCTCGTAGAGCACTGCGCACATGCCCGTGAGCCAGGCGGCCACAGTGCCCGCGGAGAAGATGCAGAAGCCGATGAGCAGCAGGAAGATGTAGTCCTGGCGGTCCAGGTGCGTGATGCACATGTACCGGAGTGGGTTCCCCACCTGCGTGATGGGCCACCCCGCCAGCTCCGCGGGCTCCACGCACGTGGCGTTTTGATCATCTGCGAGGAAAAACACAGCGGGCAGAGTGCTGAGAGAGCAGAACGGCCAGGGTCCCAGGTCTGAAGGGGACCCGGAGAAGCCATGTGGACCCTTGCTACTGAGAGTGTGGTCTGCGGGCCAGTGGCATGGGTGGCAGCTGGACCTCGTTAGAGATGCAGGCTCTCAGGCACCCCCCAAACCTCCCGAATCAGAATCTGTGTGTCAACAAGGGGACGGGCGGGCACAGTCAGGTTTGAGACATACTGCACCCGCGCTGCTTCTTGCCCCCGCCCCCCTTCTGATTTCGCTGCAGTCAGCTTGCCTCCTGAAAAGGGGCTTGGCTTCTTTTTTTTTTGAAGATTTATTTATTTATCTGAGAGAGAGGGTGGGGAGGGGCCAAGGGAGAGGGAGAGAGAGAGAATCTCCAGCAGACCTCCGCTCAACGCGGAGCCCAATGCCAGGCTGGATCTCTCGACGCATGAGATCATGACGTGAGCCGAGATCAAGAGTCAGAGGCTTAAATGACTGAGCCACCCCGGCGCCCCTGCACTTGGCTCCTTAAGGATCCTCCAGGAACGAGACACCACAGCAGGGGCTGGGAGGTTGGAAACAAGCAAGATCTCCACAGAACCCCCCACCATCAATATCCATCGCCTCCCTCTCCCCTCCCTCTTCTTGGCTCCCACCTCTCCCCTCCACCTGTCCCTTTCCCTTCACCCCGGCCTGAGTCCAGCCAGGGACCATGAAGGCGTCACACCCGGCTCAACTCTCGGGAGGGACAAGATTCCCTGGAAATGCCTCCTATGTGTTCTCCACTCAGGGAATCGGGGTGTGGGGAGCTCAGGGAAAAGGATCACCAGTAGGAGAGGCAGTTCTGCTTCTCAGCAGTGAGGTTGGCATCACTGGCTCATCACACCATCTACATGAGTCTTCAGTCCTTTTTAGCAGCTGACTCAGCTGCCTGGCTACTTCTCCGAGCCCCTCCCCATGTCAAGTGCCGTAGCCTTGAGTGTATAACAGAAAGCAAAGTGGGCTCTGGGGGAGCCAGACAGACCAGGGTTCAAATCCAGACTGTTACTTGCTGCTTTTGTAAACTTTGGCAGGATATCCATTTCCCTCTCTGAATCCATTTCCTCACCGTTACACGTGCAAAGAATGCTACCTGCTCCCAGGGTAACTGAGAGGATTTAATTGCCACAGGCGAGGACGCAAGCCACTGTGCCTGGTGCTCAGTAGTTGCACACGGAACTCAGAGCTTTGCCCTCAGCCTTGCCTTTTCCTAGCTCCATATGCTCCGCCACGTTGATGCAGAGGGGTGTGTGTGTGTGTGTGTGTGTGTGTGTGTGTGTGTGTGTGGTGCCAGGGGAATGTATCCAGCAGGCATTACATAAATGAGCTCCAATGCAGGGTGGAGACCAGGGCTTGAGATAATCATGCTCAAAATTATAATAGCAGCTAATATTTTCCAAGCTCTGATTACATTCTAAGCGGTATATAAACGTCTCGTTTCATTCTTATAACAACTTTGACAGACACAATTCTATCATTCTTGTTGCACACATAAGGAAACAGACTCACAGAGGTTTCTAGATAACCTGAAGGATCTAGGCAGGAGACAAGACACAGAAAGCGCAGACCGAGCTGTCTAAGCTCGTCTGCAGAAGTGGGAGACACAGACAAGCTAGTGCGGAGCTGCAGGTTATGTGAATGCATTCCTATCCTTGGTGACCAAGGAAGTTAGGGAAATCGGGTTTGCACAGGGGAATTAGAGAAAGGAGTACGGAAGTGAGCTGAGTGGGGAGGAGGCTGTTGGGCCTGGGGGGCCGTCGAAGTCCCCTGCAGGCTGGATAGCATTCCCCTCACCCCTGGCACTCCTCATCCCTGTGCCAGTGCACCTGCGGTGAATGGTTTGTTACTTTCAGGAAGACGGTCCGAAGGCCGTGACGCCTTTGAGGACTGGCTCTTGGTGGAGGCTGTAGACGCAGGACTGGAAGGCAGTGTGGGGCGGTCACCTCCACGGTGTGCAAAGATTACAGAGGGAAGGAGAGGGAGAGGTCCTCTTGGGGGACCCTGCCCCAAGGGGAGAGCTCTCAGGAGAGGAAAAGGGGTGGGGGCCGGGGGCTCCATTACACTTGCTGTCAAGAGGCAGGTGCCCAGTCACACCTGGAGTCCTCTTTCCACTCAGCCTGGCTGGAGGGCCTTTGGGGCTTGCGTCACCTCCCCTAACTGCCAGAGACCTGATATGGGACAATACAAAGAAAGATGTATTGGGGAAAGGAAAATGTGGGATTCTGTGGGTTGGGGGTTTATCTCCTTCTATTTTAAGAAGATTCAGCTTTCAAACTGGGGCTTTAGCGGCAGACTAAACATGAAACACCGAGTCCCGTTGGGGAGCATTACCTTGAAAGGGGCAATTAGCAGTGACTTGAAGGCTTTATTAGGTTGCTCTTAAGTGCGGGATGTGGATGTGGGTGGCTCTGCGGGGAGGGAGACCTGGGGTTTTCTACCGCTGCATTCTCTCCCCCTCCCCATTCCCTAGTCATTGCCAAGGTGGGAGCCCTCCTACCTCCCTCTCCCTGCAGGTCTCCCTAACTCCACTTTCCGCATTGCCCAGCTCTGGACCGTTTCACACACCCCCGCCAGATTTCCCTTCCTCAAGCACAGCTCTTCCCAGGCAAACTCTGGCTCAGAACCCTCCTCTGACTCCCCGGTAGGCCTGCGAATAACATCCAGACCCCCTGGCCCAGTGCTCAGAGCCCTCCGCACCTGCCGCCTACTACCTCGCCATCGCCCTCCCCACTTCCTAGCACTCCAGTGACCCACCCTTTGCTCCAGTCAAATTAAACTATTAATTCCTTGATTGCATCTTGCCCTTAACAGTAGCTAGCTTTGGGACACTGCTCTTTCTGTATCAAATGCCTCTTCCTCCAATTTTTGCCTCATCAAGTCCTTCCTAGCCTTCAACATCTGGTGTGAGTAAATGCACTCCCAGGAACGTTTCCACAGCCCTCTCATCCTCGTAGCTCAGACTGCATGGGTTCATTCCCACTCCTGGACCCACCATTGCATTCTTACTGTGCCTGTGACACTCTCCCTCACTTGGGGGCTGTTGGCCAGAGAAGGAGTGTATCTTTTCTCCCCAACCAGACAGACAAAACTCTTGAAGGCAGAATCCGTGTCTGATCATTCTTGTTCTTGTTAATAAGAGGTATCATTTATTGAAAGAAATACTTAATTTGGGGGGATTTTCTAGTAATATATATATATTTAAAGATTTTATTTATTTTGACAGAGAGAGAGAACAAAAGCAGGGGGAGCGGCAGACAGAGGGAGAAGCAGGTCCCCGCCGAGCAGGGAGCCCGATGTGGGACTCAATTCCAGGACCCTGGGATCGTGACCTGAGCTGAAGGCAGACGCTTAACCGACTGAGCCACCCAGGTGCCCCTCTAGTAATATTTTTATTGTTGAATTCTACTTTAATTCTACTGTGGTCAGAGACATACTCTCTATGATTTCAGTCCTTTGAAATTTATTGAGAATTTGCTTTATGGCTGAACATAAAGTCAATTTTAGTAAGTTTTGCATGTGCCCCCAAAAGGTGTGTATTCGGTCTTTGCTGAGTGTGTTGTTCTACGGATACCAATTAAGTCGTGATTTTATACAGGTCTTCTGTATATTTGTTGACTTTGTTATTTATATCTCTACTGACTTTTTGTCTATAAAAACTATTGTCTCTTGGTTACTATTAGTCTGTTAATGGTCTATTAGCTACTGTGAGAAGGATGTTCAGGTCACCAGTTTTGATTGTGCATTTACCTACTTCTTCATATAGCTCTGTCATGTTTTGCTTTACATATATTGAAGATATGTTATTAGATGTGTAGAAAGTTCTGTTTCCTCTTCCTGGTAGATTTACCCTCTTCTCACTGAGCGACCTCTCTCGTTATTTCTAGTAATGCTTCTTGCCTTAAAGTCTACTATCTTTGACATTAGTGTGGCTCCATCGAATTCCTTTTGGTTAGTGTTTGCCTTGTTTATCTTTTGCCATCCTTTTACTTCTAATCTTTCTATGTTCCTATATTTAAGACATATTTTTGTAAGCAGCATGTAGCTGGGTTTTGTTTTCCATCCAGTCTAGCAAACTTTGTATTGTAATTATTCCTTTAACATTTACTGTTAGACTGACACATTTGTTTTCAATTCGTCCCACTTATTTTTATGTCTCTTTCTCTCTACTTTGTTGGCTTTTATTTTATTATTTCATTTCCTTTTCATCAGTTTGATAGTCGTACATTATTTTCCTATTCTAGTCTGATGTCACTAGAGATTATAGACCCATCTACCGATCCTGGAGTGCCTGATGTGTGCTGGGCATCACAGAAGGTGCTTTACAAAATTAAGCTCTACTCTTGACCACCTCACCGAGCAGTTTTAATTATTCCCGTGCTATAGAATGAATAATTGTTTATCAGTTATTCCCTTTCTGGCTCTTGATTTCCTTTCCTCTGACAAAAGGCTACCAAGTACTGTTGTACATGCTGTGCACTGCACAACTCCAGGGCCTTCATGCATATTAGAAACAGGTGAGTAGCCCCCATGTCCTCCCTCTCTCAGCCCCATTCCATGGGCCCAGGGCATTTGTCCCAGTTAAAGCTCCCAGGTATAATTACAGGTGTCATTAATGTTTAAATTCTTCCTGCAAATAGTTCCTAAGGAAACATCACCCACCATCTTGTTTGTTTCCACACATAGCATGTTACTCCCAGGCAGAAAACCTGTTTGCCAGAATCATATGTCTGCAGGAGCAAGAGTTTCTGTGGCTCAGAATCACATCTGTTAGTGCAGGAGCCCAGAGAGCCTCCCTTTCAGAAAACTGGTATGAACCCAGTCGTTCTAAGGCAAACTGCTCCTTTCTTCGCCTACAGGGACTACAGTTCTGCCCTGTGGTCTGCTGCAGGTTCCCAAGGAGCCGTGTGCAGGCTCTGAGCCCCTCGTGCTGGTGCGCTTGCTCAGGAACCAC